TGGCATCAAGAAATGTTCTAGGGGCTGGAGCAATAGCACAGCAGGTAGGGCACTTGCCTTGCACGCGGCCAGACCCAGGTTTGATTCCCAGCATCCCATATGGTCCCCTGAGCACCGCCAAGGGTGATTCCTGAGTGCAGAGCCAGGAGTAACCCCTGTGCGTCGCCAGGTATGACCCAAAAAGAAAGAGAAAAAAAAATGTTCTACTCTGACATTTCTAATAAGGGCCTAGTTTTCCATAGTGCATCTCCGCCATTATTTATTTCATAGATGAGAAGGTTTGGCGGGTCAGGGGCATGGAAAATCTGTCGTCAAGCAGCCAAAGCCATTCCCTGTGGCCCCCGTGACACCTGAAATCCGTGCCCTGGTTCTTCGCCACACACAGCACCTCAGTGGAGTGATGTTTCGTGTGGAATGGTTCTAGCTGTCAGTCAGTCAGGGATCCCCGAAGTCACACTTTCTGGGCTTGCCCCAGGTTTCAGTGGGTGATTATAGATTCCTGTCAAATGAGATGTCTGCTGTGTATTCAACAGGAGACAGTTGACGTTTTTCTCAGTCTCGGATTCACTCATCGGGGGGAGGCAGAGCTGAGGGGAGGGAGAAATGCGTCCAGGTCAGAAGCAGCTGCTGCGCTCAGAGTACCACCTCCCCACCCCACCCCACCCCCCAAACACACACACACACACACACTCCCCACTCCCCACTGCTCACTCCAGCAGATTTTACTTCTCCAGAAATTCATTCATCTTGATTGTCACATTGTACCCCAGGTGACACGTCCATGCGTGGAAAAGGCCCCCAGCCTGGGTTTCAAAGCCGCTTGCGTCCCCTGTTGCCTTTCAGCCACACTGCTCAGAGGCATCTTGGCTGTGTTCGATCTATCAAAGATGATTAAGGGGCTGGAAGAGTTGATAGAGAAGGACAGATTAAGAAAACTAAATATTTGCAACTTGACTGAGCAGCAGCCAGGGGCAAGATATTATAACCGTCTGCCAGGGTGCCATCAGCGGGGGAGACAGTGTTTTTGCTTTTCATGGTAACTCGATTTCCCGGAGCACTAAACTTGGAGAAAGTTCTCCAGAGGACGGTATCCCTTATGCTAATTAGATCATCGTGTCAGAAACCACAGTTAGCCGCCCAGAGCAGCGCAAACTTGAAAGAGCAGGAGCGCAGACAAATGGGACTTCATTTTCTCCCCTGTAGCTTGAAAAGCATCACCCCTTCAGGTCTCAAGCAGGACACGGGGTCCTCAGATCCCCTGACACCCCTGCTTTCAACACTGGCGTTGCTGGTCAAGAAGCCTGGAGTTGGGAGGGAAGCTCCCGCTGCCGTCTTTGCCATCACGGGGTCAGTCCTGGGGACCAGGACAGCTCAGACACGCGTTCTTAGAAGGCCAGCTCCTACTGTGCATTTCTGGCTCATTGACCATATCTGAAAAGGACCTGGGAAATTGGGGAGTGGGGGGTGTTTTATGTTGAAGTTGGGCAGACTGCTAGCCCCTCTTATTAAGAAAGCATGGTCCCGCCTTGAGACCTCTTACACTCTATCTCACTTACTTATTCAAAAGTAGAACAACATTTGTTTGGTTTTAACATACTTGCTTGCTTGTATTCTCTTATCTACTGACTAAAATGGCTCCAGAATGAAATACAACAACCTTCACACACTTCCCTCTTATTGTGGTGGGAAGTTGCTCGGTGGTGGGATTGGTGTTTGAATATTATCTGTAATGAACTATTGTGAACTACTTTTGTGAAAATAAAATATATAAAATTTGAAGAAAAAGAAAGAAAGAAAGCATGGCCTAGTGGGTTCTGATCGCTCTACAGGCTCTGAGACCCCATGCTATTTTGCTCCAACAAGTTTTCCGTTTGTCCAACTGTTCCTTGAGATCTCATTTATTTCCGTGTTAGTGTTCCTCTACTGCAGGTTTCTATTCCCGGTATGCTAAAGAAACCAGCCGTCTTGGCAGGCCTGAGAATAGTAATGGTTCCCAGTGTTGTGTTCCCCACTTAAGAATATCATCTGGATAATGTGAGGAGATATTCTCAGAGGGGAGGGTTTAGGGCTCAGGAAAGTTGCTCAGAGTCAAATCTGAGCAATGGCCAACTGCAGGGTCATGTGGTCTTCTCTCTACATTGTAGTTATTGACAGTAAGGATGTGTCGAAGCACCCAGTATCCACAGTTTGTGTTACTTCCTACGGGGTCAGTGCTCTTACTCCTACCAACAGTGCTCAGGGAAGGTAGTAAGGCAGCTGCCTCCTGCACCCGCGAGGGGTCTTGTGCTCAGTATCTCGCCTGACTCAGTCGCTTCTTTAAGCTGTAACTTTTCCTTCCAAAGGGCAGTCATCTGTCGAGACCTCTTCAAGGTAGCATGAGCAGTTCTCAGTCACTGGGAACTCACAGCCGTTGTTTCTTTACACCCTAAGTGCTTGCAATAGTGCTCAGTACCTGAGTGCTTGCAACAGTGCTCAGCACCCAAGTGCTTACGGCAGTGCTGAGTACCCCCCAGTGCCTTTGTGTCAATGAGGCAGCAGCTGCCTCCATAGCAGTTGTTATACAAATCATCGTTAATTGAAATTTAAATTGAGTTTGTTCTCTGAGTAAGTAGTTGGGCTGCTGCTCACTTAGAAAAGCCTTGAGCAGTGAGCTTTTTTTTTGGTGTTTCCATCTGTTTGGTTAGTTTGGGAGTCCCACCTGACAGTGTTCAGGTTCTGGACTCAGGCTCTGGACTCCTGGTGGAGCACTAGGGATCTTATGGGGTGCCAGAGAGCAAACAGAGTCAGTCACATGTAAGATAAGTGCTCTACTCACTGTGCTATCCATCCAGCCCTCTTGAGTATTGGGTCCTTAAAGCCTCAGCACTTACAGAAACTTCCAGTGCTTCTTCCATCCTCCCCAGCTTTAGCTCTGCTCACGACCTGTGTACCACTTCCCTGGGTTTTTCTCCCTGACATCCCAGTCATCTTGGATCATCCCAGCCCCCTCTCACTAGAAGGCAGAGAGCTGTGCCGATTTGATGACATGAGTTGCAGCTCTGTCCCCCATGGGGTGCATGGCCAGTTAACCTTCAGAAAGTCCATTTCTTCTTCCATGTCACTGCCATAGGGTCTTTGTGTCCCTTCCCACTTCATTCTTTTCAACCCCATAGAACTTGATTTTCAAGCTCCCCAACCCCCGTGGAAACTACTGCTCTGGATGTGAAATTCTCCTGGTTTTATTTTTCCCGTTGCTATCATTGATGTATATTGTTGTCTCTTTCCAGTAAAAATGATTAAATTTCTTAAGATCCTTTCATTTATTATTGTTGTTGCTGTTGAGGAGATGCCCTGAGAAGTGTTCAGGGCTTACTCCTGGCTCTGCACTCAGGGGTAACTCCTGGCTGTGCTGGGGAAATCATAGACAGTGCCAAGGATTTTATCTGGGATTAGCCAAATGCAAGGCAAAACTTTGTACCCCTGCTCTGTCTCACCCCAGATATTTTTTGAACACGTTAATAACTGAGTGAGGCCCGTTGTATATTTCAGCTCCAGCCTGCTTCCTTGAAGAGGCTGAGTCATCTTGCTTTTGAATGTGTGAAGATATTTTCTAGCTGCTGGGTTAACTGGGTTGTTTTATTTATGACAGTAAGCATCAAACCACGAACATATTTCACACCCGATGGTATGTGTCAACTTTCACAGTGGGAGAAGAGGCAAGGAAAAAGCCCCCCAAGGTTGCAGGCATGGAGCCATCCTTAGGCACCCTCTTTTGAGAGGTCGGGCCCACCCTGATGCCTGTGGAAGATGCCAGCCTCTTCTCCCAAGAACATTTTTATCCTTCACGTATGAGAATGAATCTGCTAAAAACCCTGGTGTGTTGGACCAGTGACTGAAAACTCCTTCACAGAATCGGGGATGGGCGACCTCTTCCCATCTCCCCGCCCTTCTGGTTCCCTGGCAATCATGCCCAAGAACTGCCTCTGGGTGCCATTTAAGTGCATTAATGGCCATGATTCAGAGATTCACACATGAATCTCAGAAGAGAGCAGCATGCCGCAGAGATGCCTCCGGACCCCAAATACTCAAAAAATTTTAGAATTCCAGGAGTGCACAGACATGAACAGCTGCATGACATCTCATGCTATTCATAACAAGCAATACAAAATAAATTATTTAGCATTCTGCCTATGGGACAGGTTTGGGCGGTGGTGGTAAACATCAAAATAATGGTGGTGGGAAGGTGTAATGGTGGTGGGACTGGTGTTGAAATGTCTAACGTAAGCAATTATTATGAAGAAGTTTATGAAAATCATATGTAAAAATTATTTATAGCACTGTATAGCACTCTCCTCCCGTTGTTCATCAATTTGCTCGAGCGGGCCCAGTAACATCACCATTGTGTGACTTGTTGTTACTGTGTTTGGCATATCGAATACGTCACAGGTAGCTTGCCAGGCTTTTTTGCCGTGCAGGCAAGATACTCTCAGTAGCTTGCCGGGCTCTCCAAGAGGCGGGGAGGAATCAAACCCGGGTTTGCCAGGCCAGCCTCGTGCAAGGCAAACACCCTACCACTGTGCTATCTCTCCTTGAGTCATTTGAAGTTGGTTCATGATAATTTTACTCCAAAAAAATTAGAGAAAAAAGAACATGCTGTCAAACCATGACTCTTGCAACCATGGTGTTAGATGTGCCTCTAGAAAAATGTTGCATACCATGATGCCTTAAAAGCAAGATGGGGGCAGGTAGTGGAAGAGAAGAAAGGTGTCAGCCATAAAGGCAGGGTTGGAGGCGGGGGAGAGGAAAACTGGAGACATTGGTGGTGGGAAATATACACTGGTGAAGGGATGGGTGTTGAAACACTGTATGACTGAAACCTAACCTGAAACAACTTTGTAATTGTATATCTCACAGTGATTTGATAAAATAAATGAAAGAATTTTTAAAATATAGGAAACATAAAAGAAATATAGCCCAACCCTCTCTTTTGTCAGACACATTTCTGATTTTTTGTTTTCCAGGGCAGCCTTTGGCAAGGAGTCAGAAGTTCTCATTGGGAACCTGGGAGATAAATTAATCCCGCCACAGGACATCCTCCGTGATGTGAGCGACCTCAAAGCCTTGGCCAACATGCACGAGAGCCTGGAATGGCTAGCCGGTCGAACAAAGGCAGTGTTCTCCAGTCTTTCTTCATCCCAGAGTAAGGAGCTAGGAGGGAAGGCCTGGTGGGGAGGGAGATGGAGGGACCAGACCAGGTTCTTTATTCCAAGTGTGTGGGTCTCTGTTCATGGACCTCTGGAGATGAGGTCCACATGGTCAGAGTGTTCACCGAGCATTGCTCTTGTGCTGTCCCCTTCAGACTGGGTGATTCTGTCAAGGAAGTCAGCTCGCTTCCCTTGGTGAGACATCAGAAGCCAGAAGTGGCCCATGTGAGCGTAGCTCAAATTAAACTTAGAATCATAACACTGTATGATTGAGTCAAAAGGTCCCATGAGCAGAAAGAGGTAAAGGTAAAGGTAAAGGCCCTCCTGTTGATCGTCGATTTGCTCGAGCGGGCCCAGTAACGTCTCCATTGGAGACTTTGTTGTTACTGTGTCTGGCATATCGAATACTCTCGGTAGCTTGCCGGGCTCTCTGAGAGGGGCGGAGGAATCGAACTCGGGTCGGCCGTGTTGGCCGCTTGTAAGGCAAACGCCCTACCCGCTGTGCTATCGCTCCAGCAGAAAGAAATAGCTTTTATCTTCCTCTCAAGACTCCACAAGGATAGAAGGTGTCTCAGCTTAGAACAGGACATACAGCTTGTGTTTCCATTTTAACTGATATAAAATGAGTGAAAAATATTTTAAAAATTTTAAAAAAAAAGAATGCCAAAGAAAAAGTCAGAAAGCGAGCTCAGTTCCCATTTGCTAATTGCAGAATACACAGCACTGAGAAAGGAAGGGAAGCTTCCTGGTTTCCACTGACACTTGCTAATGCAGAGTTGATTAATTAGCGTTGCTTGGAATCTTAACAAAGGGGTCCTCTTGTTTGCTGGGCCGTGGGTGTCTAATATTTATTAATGTAGTATTTTGTTTCCAATGGCACAGCATTGCAGGTCTCTCTTGTGCCATTTTAGAAGGCCTCCTCAAGATATGCCATCTTATATGACTTGTAAAGCAAGCTGCAAAGTGGGTCACTTATGCTAGTCTGGTGCCAGCCACTTTCAAAGAAATCAAAATGCTCTCTGAATTATTCTCTACTTGGTAATTGCACAGTATTGCTATTGTGTTCCTGTCTCTGAGAAACCCAGCACAGATGATGTCTGATTCGTGTCTTAAGTCATCTCTGCTCTGCTAACAAAGATTTTCTATCACACCCATTAAGACTTTGTCTTGTGTGCTCAGTTTCATTTCACAATACATCAGTTGTACCCCCTCAGTTCCCTTCAGGGTGATTATTCCACCCAGTGAGTGACTTAAGTAACTGTCAGCATTTTGACACTCGGTGCAAAACCCAAGTGAACTATAATCAGTGCTTCTGTTGTCTTTGCTCAAACACAGCATCAAGCACTCCTGGTTTATTTTGCTAACCACACTCCAGACTCACCCACATGCACCTCTTGGTTTAACTCCCAGGAGAGCTGCCTGTTGGCGTTTGTAATTGGAGGAAAGCAGGGGATTCTCTGATCATGGGTGACTTTGATTGCTCCATGTCAGGGTGGTTCTAGAAAGGGAAAAGAGATGGCCCTTCGTGATTCTTTTGAAACGTAAAAGAAATAATTACCTTGACAAAAGCATTTCCAAATCTAGAGTCTCGCCTGCATGAAGAAAATGTCAGCTATTATTCTGTTACTCATGGAAACTCAGCAGGCGGGGTGCAAATCAAGGGGGGGAAATATGATAGTTTTTTTTCTCTTATTCTTCAACCATTTTAAGTGTTGGGCTTTAGTGTAACTAACAAGTGGTGAATGCGATGTGGGGTGAAGAATCTTTGCAGGAAATCATTTCCATAGTAGAATGTTCCTTCCATTCTCACAGGAGGCTTCTCATTCACCGGGAACATCATGTCATACTAAAGAGGATGTTTTAGAGGCAAGGCATGGGTGTCTCTTTAGTAAATCCTGGTGGGTGGGGGTGTCAGGTAAATTCCAACTGCCCCCAAAACACTGCTCTCAATTGGCATTCTATCATGTTCCATGTCCCTGCTCCTTTTCTTCTGTTCTTTGAAGGGTCTTTCCAGTGAAAGTTACAGGCTCATCAAATGGAAACAAAGGCATCAATTTATAAAATTGGCAGGTCCAAAGACCTTTCGGATCCAGAAGTACATCATAGCACAGACAGGCTTATACACCTACTCTTTCTGTCGCAGAATGTTCTCAGCATTGCTTCCATCCCAGGTATCTATGTCTCTGCACCAGCAGCCCTGGCTGCCAGCAGTCCCAGATTATTTGATCCCAAATAAAAAGAGAGTTTTGGGGGGGTGGGGTTTTGTTTCTGGTCCTGGGATCATGACATACATCCCCCAAAGGTGTCCTTGTGAACATCAAAGTCAAGTGCCCATCTTTGACTTTCTCCCACACATCTGTCACTTTTGCTGCTGTCTCTCACTTCCATCTTTACCACCGTGCCTTGCTTCCATTGTTGGTATACTTTTAGGCTCAAGGCCTGTTTTAAGATTGCTGTACATTGGAAAGTCAAAATCCAGCTCTCTCCATATTTTACCCCAAAGATCACAATATCCATCTTGTTGGAAAGGCACTGTAGAACTGTAGCACTGTCCTCCCTGTTGTTCATCGATTTGCTCGCATGGGCACCAGTAACATCTCACAACAAATCGTTAGACTTGTTGTTGCTGTTTTTGGCGTATCGAATACATCACAGGTAGCTTGCCAGGTTTTGCCGTGCAGGCAGGATACTCTCAGCAAGGTAGCTTGCTGGTCTCTCTGAGTGGGGCAGAGGAATCAGACCTGGGTCGGCCGCATGCAAGGCAAATGCCCTACCCACTGTGCTATCACTCCAGCCCGTTTAAAAAATAAAATAAAATAAATAAAATAGTAAAGGCACAATATGTAATGCTTTCCATTTTTAATACCTGTTCTGTGTAAAATTCCTACATAGAGACTATCTATCATGGTTAAGAAATTCTCGACAGACTCTGACCCACATAAAAATTGTTTGAGTGTTTTCCATTTGAACATTAATGATTTTCTTCTGGATGTTATCTTTTCACTAAGGAATAAAAACAGACTACTTAAAACTTTTGAGAGGCGGCTCAAAGTCTTCTTTGGTCTACCTTGCTTCCTGGGGGAGGGGGTGTCTTCTCTGTCTTGGAATCTGTGAAAAATCTCCAGGATTAGAGATTCTAAAACTGACTTGATTATAGATTCTGTTCTTTAAGCAACTCTACCACTCAGGAGATAATTGTTTTTTGAGTCAAGTCCCTTTGCTCCAGTCTAAGTTTACTCTTTCTTCTGCTCTATTCATAAATTAAATGTGGATTTGTTTCTCTCTGAAATATTTTAATGCACATAAAAAAATTTTTTCCTAGACCCTACTTCCCCACCTTTGGGTATCAAATGGTTATGGCAAGAAAATCCATCTTTGAGTCAAGAACAATCAAAATCTAGTAGAATTAGAAGCTTAGGGAAACTTAAGTTATATTCATAGCCTCCTGGATGGAGTGTAAATAAAGAACTTTGTGTGTGGGTCCTAGTGCACACTTCTTGGACACCCACCTTCCCATCTCTCCCCAACTCCATTCCCATTACCGAACCTCTTACTGAGCTGTCATGCACGGGCAGTGAGTAATAAAATGTTCTTTCCTAGTTCCTTTTTATTATGAGAATCCACACAGTTAAACATCCCTTCAAAGTCCAAGGGAAATAAATCTCATAGTTTGTATTCTTGGGATTGGCTCAAGAATCGCAGGATTATCTTTGCTGTAATTTATCATTGTTAATTGATTTATCATTGTTTTACAATCATTTGGAATTTTAGGGGTTTAGCTTCACACCTCTTCTTGTGTATACTACTCACAACTCCCTCTACTGAAGTTCTAGTACCATCCCGCCATCAAAAATACCCTTTTACCCACCCCTTCTTCCCTCTGCTCCTTTTTCCTCCAGTAATCACCATGGTTTGCGTCAAGTCTGGAAGTTAGATATATTGTTTCTTGCAGTCTGTTCACTTTAGTTATTCCAACCCTACATATGAGTGAAGCCGGCTGGCATTTGGCTTCCATGTCCTTGGTTATCTCATGTAGCATCATTACCTCAGGATTCATCCATGTTGTTACCCAAAACTTAATTTTATCCTTTTTGGTCACAGAGTAGCATTCCACTGACTGACAGTTTCTTTATTTGGTAGCATTTTCTTAATGTGATGAATTCATTTATTATAAACAGTATTTGAGCTTATAACAGGATTATAACTAGCTTAGAGACAGGTATCTGCCATAAGCAGTTATGCAATTGATATAGATTATCATTGTGTCAGTCTACAGTATTTTGTGTGTAAGGAGCTGTTTCTTTCTAGCCTTAGATATTATATTGGGTCGTTCAGCTAATTCCTAGTTGGCATATGTGCTGAACAAGCCATAATCAATGTACATATCCAGGGGGTGTGAAATAGTACAACAGTTAAGGCACATATCTAAATATGGTTCAGTTGATCACTTGTTGCAGCACTGGAGGATCCTAAGGACTGCCAGGGGGACCTGTTTAATCCCAAGTACCCCAGGACCCGAGCCACTTCACAACTTCAGACCTTTCTGTTGAATAGCTGGCCTCTTGAGCACTAGTTGGCAGCACTATCACCAGGAATGGTACGAGTGGTCACCAAGCAGACAGCCCAGAGTGACCCAAATTCCCACAGGCCACCGAGTATGATCTCCACACCAGTAAAAACAGGTATCAGTAGAAATCAGTCAATAAAAATCAAGTCTTTTGAGCCATTTGCTTTAGATTCTATTGCATAGTGTTGACTCAAAACCCACTTACACATGAAATTGCTTCCTGAGAAATGACCCTTTTGAGTAGAAGTCCTTAAACTTGGCTGCACATGAACAGAATCAGCAGTACCAATGCTGGGAGGAAAATACCAGTGCTCCCCCCAACTTGTTCCCCCACCTCCACCCCTCAGGTTTTATTTCATTCTTTTTACCATGACCTAGGCCTTCCCAATCCATCCTGAAGGACAGACTCTCAGTCTGACTTGCACTGGT